GTGCTGAGAATGGAAAAATCATGACAGAAACAAGGAAGATGGAGAACATTGTAAAGGAATAATTTCTAAATCTTTATGCTAAAAAATTTGAGAATTTGGAGGAAATGAAAGAATTTCTAGCAAATATTGATATCCCCAAACTACACCAAGATTTAAATCAACTAAATTTAAACCAAGTAATGAAACAGAAATAGCAATAAGAGAACTCTCATCTAAGAAAAGCCCAGGACCAGATGGATTCACAGCTGAATTCTGTAAGACCTTCAAAGGAGAACTCACTCCAATACTCCTCAAAACTCTTCAATGAAATTGGAAGGGAAAGTTTACTACCAGACTAATTCTATGAAGCCAGCATCCTGAAACCAGACACAGATTCCTCAAAGAAAGAGAATTATAGACCCATTTCTTTGATGAACATTGATGCAAAACTTCTCAATTTCTGATCAACCAATTTCAACAACACATCAAAAATTATGCACTATGATCAAATAGGATTCATTTCAGTGATGCAAAGCTGGTTCAAAATACATGTCAATTAATGTAATTCAACATATCAATAGGAGCAAGGACAAAAATCACATGATTATCTCCATAAATGCAGAAAAAGCATTTGACAAGATCACACACCCCTTTATGATGAAAGTACTAGAGAAACTAGGAATTCATGGAACATTCCTTAATATAATAAAGGTGGTATATGACAAGCCTACAGCCAGTATTATACTAAATGGTGAAAAGTCAGAGCCATTTCGCCTAAAATCAGGAATGAGACAAGGATGTCCACTCTCCATTCCTCTTCAACTTAGTATTAGAATTCCTAGCTAGAGCAACAAGGCAAGAGGCAAACATAAAGGGGGTCCAAACAAAGAAAGATGAAGTAAAACTCTCTTTGCATATGATATGATCCTGTATTTAGAGAACCCCATAGACATCGATAGGTTATTTGAGCTAATCCAAAAACGTTAGCCAAGTAGCTGGGTATAAAATTAACCCCCAAATTTGTAGCATTTCTGTATCCCAACAATGAGAAAAGCAAGGCTGAAATCAGAAAAGCAGCTCCTTTCATAATAGCATCAAAAAAATACCTAGGAAGTAATTTAACAAAAGAAGTGAAGGAGCTCTACAATGAAAACTTTAAAAATTTTAAAAAGGAAATTAAAGCAGAACTAGGCAAGTAGAAAAATCTCCCATGCTCCAGGATTGGGAGAATTAACATCATGAAAATGGGAATCGTGGAATAGTGCCCAAACGCTATCTACAAATTCAATGCAATACCCATCAATATCCCAACTTCATTCTTTAATAAAATAGAAGAAACAATCCAAAAATTCATATGGAATAATTAAATACCCCGAATAGCAAAAACAATACTTAGCAGTGTTAGACTTGAACTTGAGACCCTGGAGCAACCCCCAGAGACCACGACCAATGCAAACAGCAAGAGAGTCGTTTATTTGCAAGCTCAGCTTGGACTCACAATCATCACCGACGCAGCAGAACACAGTTGTGAGCCCCAACCCCTTGTTCAGCAGGGTTTTTATTGAGTATGTAGCAGGGGGAAGGATGTCAAGCTCATTGGTTAGGAGTATGATCATTTCCAGTGAGGGCAGGGACTTTCTAGCTTAGTGGTTACAGGATAGGCTAAATCATACATCATTGGTTGGAGAAGTGGGGCCAACCACAGGAATGCTGAATTATGTCTTGTCCTAAATGTTTTCTCGACAGAGTTGGGGGAGAGACTGCCCAAATTCCTGGACTGGTCATTGCAGATTGATCCCTTAATAACTCTTACTGTTATCTTGCCTTGGTGCAGTATCTAACACTTACTTTCCAGTAACAGATGACAAACATTTTAGTTTTGTCTGAAATTACTGCTAAACTTATTTTTGGTCTTTCAGCAGGAAGAAAATTGTGGAAGAATATCAACACTAAACTTCAAACACTACTACAAAGCCATAGTAATAAAAAAAGCTTGGTACTGGCACAAAAATGGCCTGAGGACTAATGGAATAGAACCCAGAAATGGAAGACCCAGAAATGAAACCGCAGACTTATGGCCACCTAATCTTTGATAAGGGAGCCAAAAAAACAAAAACAAAAAAACAGGATGGAAGAAAGCCTCTTCAACAAATGGTACAGGCAGAATTGGCTAAACACGTGTAGAAAACTGAAAAGAGATCATTATATATCACCTGAGACCATAATGGATTCCAAATCAATCAAAGACCTCGAGGTAAAAGCAGGTAACCTGAAAATATTAGAGGAAGGAATAGGGGAAACGTTAGGACTCCTTGGCACAAGCCGAAACTTTCTTAATAAAGACCAAGAAACTACAAATCAAAGAAAGGTTGTATAAATGGGATTGCATTAAACTTCAGAGCTTCTGAATGGCAAAGAACATAGCTCACAAGATAAACAGACAGCCCACAAACTGAGAGAATACCTTCACTAGCCATACAACAGAAAAGGTCCTCATATCTAAAATATACATAAACAAAAAATTAAATCCCCCAAAAGTAAATCCTAAAAAACCCTAAATAAACCATCAACAAGTGGCTTAAGACTTAAAGAGAGACTTCTCTAAAGAGGAAACAAGAATGGTCAATGGACACATGAAGGAATGCTCACCATCTCTGACCATAAAAGAAATGCTTATCAGACAGGTGCCAGACTCTTTTCTTTTTTTTTTTGGTCGGTAGTGGGGAATGAACTCTGGGCTTGGACGCTATCCCTCAGCTCTTCAGCACAAGGTGAGCACCTACCACTTGAGCCACAACTCCACTTCCGGTTTTCTGAGTGGTTTATTGGAGATAAGAGTCTCACAGACTTTCCTGCCCAGTCTGGCTTTGAACCGTGATCCTCAGATCTCAGCCTCCTGAGTAGCTAGGATTACAGGCATGAGCCACTGGTGCCCCACAATCTGTGAGATTCTTATCTTCAATTAATCACAGAAAAAGTCCCAAGTGGTGCTGTGGCTCGAGAGGTAGATTGCTAGCCTTGAGCAAAAGGAGCTTAGGGACAGCACCAGGCCCAGAATTCAAGACCCAGCACCCACAAAAATAAAAGAAAAAAAGGGAAAAAAAAGGATTGCTTTAAAGTCCATACTCTTAAGCACTATGCCTCTCAAAAAATAGTAAGAGCTTGAAGGCAGGGATAGGAGGGGGAAACTGGGGGAAAGTGAAGCAAGGGGTGACATTGGCCAAAAAACAAATGTATTCATTATCTTACTTATGAAATAGTAACCCCTCTGTACAACATCTTAGTAACAAAAAAATTGTATTTTAAAAATAGCAAGAAAATGGGCATAATTAATTCTAGTATAAATTATTGAAGAAAAATAAGATTCAAAATGCCAAGATGTATCACAGAAGAAACACAATGACTAGTCAGGAGAGTCTTGGGACCTAAATATGTATTTAATTAATATAAATGGATGTTTTGCAAAGTCTCTGAAGATTATAGTGCTTTCAAAAAGAGACATGTAGCCTGTAACTCTAGTTACTCAGAAGGGTGATATATGAGGACTGTAGTTTAAAGGCAGCCTGAGCAGGGAAGTCTGAGACTCTTATCTCCAAATTAACTACCAAAAAGTTGGAAGTGAGCTGGGTGCTGGTGGCTCTTGTCTATAATCTTAGTTATTCAGGAAGTTAAGATCTAAAGCTAGCACAGGCAGGAAAGTCAGTGAGACTCTTACTTCCAGTTAATTACCAAAAAGCCAGAAGTGGAGCTATTGTTCAAGTAGTAGCACACCAGCCTTGAACAAAAAGCTTAAAGACAGGACCCAGGCCCTGAGTTGAAGCCCCAGAATTGGCACAGAAAAGTCAAGTATAGTTTTAGGCCTAGAAGCTTAACAGGATGATCTTGGTCGTGTTAAAATTACACAACCACGCCAGGCACTGGTGGATCATGCCTGTAATCCTAGCTACTCAGGAGGCTGAGATCTGAGGAATGGAGCTCAAAGCCAATGGGGGCAGGAAAGTCTGCAACTTTTATCTTCAATTAACCACCAGAAAACCAGAAGTGGTGCTGTAGCTTAAGTGGTAGTACACTAGATTTGAGCAAAAGAGCTCAGGGACACCGGGCTAAGATCAAGCCCTAAGACTGACAAAAAAAAACCCCAAGAAACAAAAACCAAAAAGAAACCTTACACAACCATCCAAAGCCTGTTACCTTTTGTGTAATGTAGAAATAATAACAAAAATCTTGGAGAAGTATATGAATATATGTAAAGGGTGCAAACCTTACTCAATGAATATTACCTCTGAATTCTTAGCATTTCCATGGAGTATTTAGCATATAATAATTAAATATCTGCTCACCTAACTGCTCACAAATTTCAGAAGAATCTATGTTGTGCTATTTAAAGGTACATTTAATATTCCAATGCTTGAGTGTTTAAAAGGAAAATAAAATTTAAATAAATTTTAGAAACCTTGGATTCATCTTTTCAGTAGATGAAATCTTTTTCTGTATAGCTAATGTAAGCTGGTTTTAAGAAAAAGATCATAAAATCTTTAACCTGGGAGAATTTGTAACTCAATGTGAGCATGGCACAGGAAGCTTCCTCACCAGCAGCACTACATGAATATTTTCTCAAAAGGAAAACAGAAGAAATGTCATTAAAATATTTTGCTACATTTCATAAATTTTGATTAGTAAAACATAGGAGAAAGTCTCAAACATGCAAATGAGCAAAATCACATGATTGCAATATAACAATAAAATACAGCTCCCAACAACAAGGTTAAGGATGAAGAAGTGCTCCATTCAGTTTCAGGTCGCTAAAGCCTCCAGAAACAGGTTTAGTTATAACTTATTTAGCAACACTGAAAGCTTCATTTATTTGCTACAGTTACTTTCTTGTTAACATGATTAAAAATTCCAAAATGAGAGATGCAGATTGTTCTCCTCTATTGAGGTCTTAACAATATAGCAAGGAAAATCTGATTTCAATTTTTACAGATCAACTAATAAAAAGATCTCCATTCAGGCATATTTTGGCCAAGTTTAGCTTTATTACATCAAAAAACTCTCATTCAAATACAGAATATTTTTTAAGAAGAATCCACAGGAAATATAAAAATATGGATGTAAAGGGACATGAAACTGCCTGACACAGAAGGTAACGTCAGTGAATATTACATTATCTCTAGCTACAGTGGCTCCGTAAATGTCTTGCTGCACTATTTAGACCAGAGGTACTCAACATAGATATCTTTGTAAATGGGACTTCAGAGAATTCCATTTCTCTTGCCTATAATGCCAAGAAAAGTCCTCCTGGTCGCACAGGCATGTCCTTAGGAAGATTAGTTTCCAGCCACTCTGAATTTTCAGAGAGGTTTTATATTTTCAGGTATTTTATTTACTTTTATAGAATTAAGAAACCTTTTGAGAATTCTAGGTTTAGATGTTGTAGATTGTGTCAAAATATGAAGTAAAACTTAAATTAAAATTTTACATACCTTGTGTCTATAATTGAGATGCCAATGTTTTAAGGAAAAAGTATAAATTAGTGTAAAAAATTCAGCATCTCCTATTGGTTCAAATATAAGATTATGAGTATTAAACAGGAATAACAACATAGTAATAAAAATAGAATGTGTTTATGTGCACAAATGGGATCAACTGTTTCTCTGAAATGAGAGTGAATGTTGTGGTAACCTTGTAAGTTTAACATTTCCAAACACAGAAGGGGACACTTCCCTGGACACACAGACCAAGCATTCATGTTCATCTATAAACAGTTTGTCTTCTACGTTTCATTTCTCATTACCAAATATGTACACTTCAAATTAGAAATTAGGCTATGTGATACTGAGTCCTCTTCAGAATCAACAATAATGTTTGACAAATGTAACATGGACTATAAGTTAACAGGTATAATCTTGATAATATCAAACAATAGCAAATGCTTTAAATATTAACATTAGGAAAAAATAGTTATCATCAGATCTACTTTCTGAAATCTCAGTTGAGGTAACCCCTGCAGGTCACTGCCCCGCATTTACATACAGTTCTGACCCTCTTTTTGGCAGGGCTGTGGTCAAGAGAGTCTGAAGATATATCTCCAGAACCTGAATATACAGGAAAAAGACAAAAATAAAAGAAAGGGAGAGAGAGAGAGAGAGAGAGAGAGAGAGAGAGAGAGAGAAAGACTATTTAGAATGCATTTAATATGTTCTTTTAAGGTAGCAAGTAAAGATTCTTATTTACTCAACACCATTAGAGTAAGTTAATACCCTTTGTATTTATAAATGTGGATATTCTAAGATAGACATGAATTGTCTTCTAAGGATGGTATGGGCTAGTAAGAGATAAAACTGGTATTTGCCTAACCTTGTCCAAGTGGCTACCTGACATGTGAAACTTAGTGAGAAAATCCAATGGAAAGTCCTTTCTTCCTGACAGCACATGAAATGAAGTTCCACAGTAATAATATGTGAAGGCCATTGCTCTTAGAAAAACAGAGGAAAGGAAATACTCACATTGTCACAATAAAGCAAATAGAATCAAATGTTCTCTCAAAAGTCAGATTCAAGAAGGAAGAAGTTCACATGTGATTTAAAATCATACTTTCAATTTTGTAAATATGTATCTCTTAGTAAATCTTCACAAATGTGGGCGTATTAATACAAGTAGTATTGAGAAATATGCTCTAATGGACTTCTAAAATGGAAGTTTTGAAAACAAATCAGTAGGAAATGTGGTATGTAAGAGAGATCATTCATTCCCCAGCCCAAGTCAAGCTGACTTGGACTCTAGCTCTAGTCACCAGATAAACTTTAGACCTTAAGTAAGGTGACTAAGTCTTATAGCCTCGATTGATTTCATTTTTTCTTTTTCTTTTTTTGGTGCCAGTAACAGGCCTCACACTTGGCTAAGCCATCTTATTTGGATTGTCTACTACTAGCACTCTACCACTTGAACCATACCTTCAGTCCAGATTTTTATTGGTTAACTGGAGTCTCTTGGATTTTTCAGCCCCAACTAACTTTGAACTGGGATCTCAGATATCAGCCTCCTGAGTAACTAGGATTATGGGTATGAGTCACTGGTGCCTGGCAATTTCTTTCATTTACAGTTTGTTCTGATAATCTAAGGTCTTAGATATACTTCCTCATACTGAAACTACCCCTAATGAAACTATACTTGAAAACCATACCTTTCATTTGATAATCAAATGTCAGCTCTTCTCCAGCATTTATGGTTCTTGTGGAAAATAATGCAATTCGAGGAAGACGAGTATCAAGGTTGTCAATGAAAACATTGAACACCTGAAGATTTGGGTCACACTAAAAAAACAAACAAACACGACAGCTGTTTAAGTAAGAGTTAGGTCAAGGAGCTCTTTTATATACCATATAAAAAATTTTAACTTCTCAGGGTATTCTTTTTTCTTTTTTGTACCAGTTATGGAGCATGAACTCAGGGTGGGGTGCTGTCCCTGAACTTTCTTTAACAAGGCTAGTTCTCTACCATGAGCTTTTTTGGTGCTTAATTGGAGATAAATCAAACTTTTCTCCCTGAACTGGCTTTGAAGCACAATCCTAAGATCTCAGCCTCCTGCATTGATAGGGTTATAGGCATGAACCAGTGGCACCCAGCTCAGAGTATTTATTTTTAAAGTTCTATAGGAACTAAGTTGTTTCAAAACTACTGTTAAAACATAAAAACTTCAGATATACTTGAGAGAAAATAATGCAATAAATCTGCAAATACAACTATGCAGCTTTAACAATTAAATAGTCTGCCTATCTTTTTCATCCAGTATCTGTTTTTTCTGGAAAAATTTAGTACAAGTCCCAATTAACATTACTGTTTTTTATCTGTAACTATTTCAATTCAAATTTAATGTCACAGAGTTTCATTGCTTAAACATTTATTTAGATCTGTTCAACATTTTGAGAACTCTACATTACATTATAGAATATGCATGAAGAGATATTAGAAATTATATAGACAAAACAAGTGTTTAATAAAATATATTTATGTTGGGAGGTGGCTATCTGTGTGTCCTATATCCATAGTTGACTAACTTCAGATTCAATCAACAGTGAATTAAAATATTTATAGGAAAATTGTACTTATACTGAACATGTACAAACTGATTTCTCTTGCCAGTATTTGCTTAATACTGTGTAACAACAAGCTACATAGTATTTATATTATTAGTAATCTAGACACGATTTAAAGAATAAGAGAAAATGTACAGGTTGTATACAAATATTATAGTATTATTTAAGGTACTGGAACATTCAAATATTTTGATGCCTGCAGGGAATCTTCAAGTCAATCCTGAGATACTAAAGGATAATTTCACTTCAAATTTATTAAGAACAAAATTCTTAGCCAGTGTAATAGAGTGGCTCATGTTTATACTCCTGTGCTATTCAGAAGCCTAAGACAGAAATGATTATAGTTCTGGGCTAGCCTTCTCAATGAGTTCATGAGATTCCCTTCTCAACCAATAGCTGAGCATGGTGGTAATGTATATCATCAGTTATATAAGAGGCTGAGATCAGGAAGATTTCAGGCCAGCACAAGAAAAAATGTTTGAGCCTACATCTCAACAGAAGAAGCTGGGTATGGTGGTATATGCCTGTCATCAACTATTACAGAAAGTATAAATTAAGTGGATCATGGGCCACACACAGACCTGGGATAAAAGTGAGAATCTACCTCAAAATAACCAGTACAGGGCTGGGAAGGTGGCTCAGTGGTAGAGCGCTTGCCTTGCATGCTTGAGGCCCTGGGTTCGATTCCTCAGCACCACATAAGCACAAAGAAAAAAGCCAGAAGTGGTATGTGGCTCCAGTGGTAGAGCGCTAGCCTTGAGCTGAAGAGCTGAGGGACAGCGCCCAGGCCCAGAGTTCAGGCTCCACGACCGGACCCAAAAAAAAAAAAATAACCAGTACAAAAAATGGCTGGAAGTGTAGCTCGGTAGCAAAGCGCCTGTTTAGCAAGCATGAAGCCCTGAGTTCAAACACCAGTTGCAAAAACAGCAAAAGCCAAAGTTTAAATCAGAAAAATAAAAATAGGTTTCTCACATATTACTGCTAAATCATATATCAGTTTCTTGGTATGCAATCAACCAGAAGTTTTAACATGACATCTTTATAAGATCAGCTATCCAACTTATTCTGAGATAAATTTTATTTATTATCTATAGCATATTATCTATAAAATGGAGTTAATATCAATCACATTGACCACTTCCCTTACTTCTGGAAATAGTTTTTAGAATATAAGATTCTGTTAGAACTACAACTCTTAAGTTCTTTCAAGTGTGAATTAAAAATTTAAAGAATGGCCAGGCGCTGGTGGATCACGCCTGTAATCCTAGCTACTCAGGAGGCTGAGATCTGAGGATCGCGGTTCAAAGCCAGCCCGGGCAGGAGAGACTGTGAGACTCCTATCTCCAATAAACCACCAGAAAACCGGAAGTGGCGCTGTGGCTCAAGTGGTAGAGCGCTCGCCTTGAGCTGAAGAGCTGAGGGACAGCACCCAGGCCCAGAGTTCAAGCCCCACAACCGACCAAAAAAAAAATTAAAGAATGCTAATTTATAATTTGAAAAAATGATACTAAATGCTTCTATACTCCACAAACCCTCAATTATACAATAACATGCTCACATTCTAAGAAACTGTGTTTATCTTCAGCTGCACAATAGTCCTCCCTCATCACTCATGAAGTATCTATTCCATGACCCTCAGTGGATGCCTGAAACTGCAGATAATGCAAACATTATTATGTGCTCTACTTATCATAAACTAAACTTACATATTAGGCACAGTAAGATATTAACAATAATAACAGTGTGATAGTAACACTGTAATAAAATTAAGCAACTGTGATGTGACCCTCAAAATCAAGTTGTACTTCCTTTATTTTAGGAAAGCACTTTCCACCTTCTCTATTGCATGTCCAAATTGTTCACATCACTACTCTTGATGTGAGGCTATCTTAAGTAAAATAAGGGTCATTTGAAGGAGGGCAAGGATGAGGTTTGAACTCAGGTCCTTGTGTTTGTTAGCAGGGACTCTTAACAATAAGGCCACACCACCAGCCCTTTTGTTTTCACTATTTTTCAAATAGGGTCTCTTGTTTATGCCAAGGTCAGTTTCACATTTATGCTTGCTACATAGCTGGGATGGCAGATGTCATAACTCACAGAATTTATAGAGGTATCTTGCAAATTTTTGCCTGGGCTGGCTTCAAACTGTGATCTTACCAATCTCTACCTCCCAAATAGCTAGGACTGCAGATGTGAACAACCACATCTGATAAAAACATGGTATTCTAAGCACCTCAATGTCTACCTTCCTAGAACAGCAATAAACCATGTCATAGGAAAAGAGGCCCTTAATATTAAAATACCTTAGAAGAGTCTATAGTTTCAAGGTAATTATCCTTTATGGAAAAATCATTAAAAACAGGATCAAATTGAATTGGTCTTATCTATAAGTCAAATATTCCTTACACTGTGATTCACAAAATGGGAAACATTTCCATATCGAGCTGCATCCACTGTGAATTCATCAGATTCATAGTCCAGATCAAAGAGATATGTGATTCCTTTGTTGTCATATAGCTGTCCACGCCTTTCAGCTTCTTCACTTGTAATTACCTAAAGAAAAAAAACTACTATAGTTTTTTCTTTTTTCTTTGAAACAGTGTCTTGCTATATTTTTCAGGCTATTCTCAAACTCCTGAGCTCAAGTGATCTTCCTACCTCAGCCCCCTGAGCAGATGGGACTCGGGTAACATTATACTACCCAAACCATAGCATATTATATTGCCGTTGATGAACTAAAGAAATATTCATTCTATAAATCAATTAATATATTAATATGTTTAACATATTTATAAAAAATCAAGTGTTATCAAAACAAATATTCACCAAAAACTGAGCTATATTTGAAATAATGAAAATGATGCCAAAATAATTTGTTAAATAAAACCTTGGAAAATTAATAGGTGGAAACATTGCACTACTTATATTATCATTAAGGCATTCAAAACACTTTAAAACGATAGCTCTCTGCAGCCTGTAACTGAAGAGTACTACATTTATTAGTATATGTTGCAAATATGTTCTGAAGTTATTGTTTTCCTATAACAAATCTCTATGCAGTTACAAATGGAACTATATTACAAAACAGGAAAGAAGCTAGGATAAACTTGCAGTTAACTTCATAGAACAGGTATTCAGGTAATACCAATAGTTCAAAACCATTCAGGAGCTAGGAATACAACTCAGTGGTAGAGTCGTTGGCCACCATGTGTGAGGCCATGCTACAATTCCAGTGCCACAGGGGAGAAAACATCATCTATAATTCTGCTCTTAAAAAAAGCTTTATCATGTAAACAGCTCAAGAAACCAAAAATTTCCAAAGTGATTTGTTTTATCAACCAAATCTGGTTGCTGCCAATTTATTTTTTCCGGTTGTGGGGCTTGAGCTTGAATTCAGGGCCTGGGCACTGTCCCTGAGGTTTTGCACTCTAGGCTAGTGCTCTAGCACTTTGAGCCACAGCCCCACTTGGTTTTCTGGTAGCTACATGGAGATAAGAAGCTCATAAGACTTTTCTACCTGGGCTGGCTTTGAACAACAATCCTCAGATCTCAGTCTCCTGAGTAGCTAGGATTATAGGCATGAGCCACCAGTGCTTGGCCTCAGACAAAATTTTAAAAAAGAAAAAATAATGTGATTATATAAAGATCTAGTAATTTCTTTCTTTTTTTTTTCTGCTTATGTGGTGCTGAGGAATCGAACCCAGGGCCTCATGCATGCAAGGCAAGCGCTCTACCACTGAGCCACCTTCCCAGCCCCTAGATCTAGTAATTTCTGAGTATAAAAAAATACAAGATTCAAAACAGGGACTTCATTTCAAAATTCTAGATTAACACAGGTAATTATACATGACTCAATTCCAAATAATCTCACTAACCAGTCAGATATTATAATCACAGATATATGGTGACACTTGTATCTGTTGTCATAGCTTAAAATATCATTTAGTTCAAGACACTGTGGTTCAGTGAAAAGAATCATTCTGGAATTCTGAATCCTGCCTATTGTTTTCTACTGAGGCTCATTACTCATTTGGCCTTGGATAAATTACCTAAATTCTCCGTGCCAGTTTCTTTTGAGTTGAGAGGATTAGAAAGATAGGGTGCTTATTTATTACAAGAATATGGTGGCACATGAGAAAAACTAGTTTATACTTACACATATGTAAAACTGAATTTGCTGGTATTCAATAATTTACAGAATGGTCTGAAAAGTGTTGGAATTATAAAGAGATTTTCCTTATGGCTACAACAAATGTATATTCTATAATACTCATAAACCAATTGGTCTACTAGATAACATGTTGATACAAAATAGTTAACTAAACTTAACCATCATTTGGCCAAATGAATGAAGTAAATTATAACTTCTAATTTCAGTTAGTATGTTTAGGATTAATTTTCTTATGACTTTTGTGTGAGAGATGTTATATTTCACAACATATGCATGCTTTCTTCAACAGTTATGGATGTTTTTGGAGGATGATTTTATAACAATTCGTTCTATTTTTTGCACATATACAAGTATTTTTAATCATGCTATTGACCTTTCTCCAAAACCTGAAAATGAATTCCTATATATCTGCAAATGGTAACATAAAGATTATGAATTATTTATGTTTTGCATGCAATACAAAGGTTAATTTTCAAAAGTATAAACTTTACGCATTATTTGTTATGTGATAAACTGAACATACCTCTCCAACATACTCCATGACAAAACTCATCTTTTTAATCTTCACAAGGGTTTTCACACCCCAGCCACGGCCATTGCTAGTTCGAAAGATGCAAAGTGAATACTGTGTGCCTTTCTGTACAATCCTATTGGGACAATCAGGTCCACACTGGCACCTTGAGTTGCATTCATAGATGGGGGTACCAGGAGGGATTCTAATTTGTTGCTTCTTATTGTAAGCAAAAAGAACTCCAGCTTCAGCAGGACAGCATTTCTCAAGGAAGCAATCTGTGCATGAACAACCAAAGGTAACTTCATTGACTAAGCTGATTCCAGGGGCTGGCTTGTATTCATTTATGTAGAAGAAATCTAAAGGTGGGCCCTGCAAGTCAACCGTATTTTCAACTAATATCATTCCTTTATGAGTCTTTCTTCTGTTGAGTTCTTCTTGCCATCTTTGCAGAGCTAGCCTTTGTTTAGCTTTCTTCACAATATATTCAGCAACAGCAGGTTTTAAAGTTTTGTTGTTGTCTTTTGGCATTATTACTTTGCCTTTCTTTACCTGAGATGAATAATTATGTTTGTCATTATAAAATTGCTGAAGCAGTAATGGACACTTGAGATTTTGCAAAGGTTCCCAGGTATTTGTAGAATCTGGCCACCCTTTCCATTTTACAAGGTAGTATTCCATATCCTTAAAATATAAAAGAAAATACAAATCAGATTATGATAACATCAATTATTTAAAATACTTTAAAGAATGAGCTATCACCATTTTTCTTAGTAATAGTTCAGAGTATGTAAATGTTTACAAATTCCTGATAAAGCACAAATCATACAAATAAAACTATTTTCCCTTATGTAAAATAGAATTTAGATACAGCACATGTTTGACAAGTATCTTACCTGGAGAAAATAAAAGCTCTGAAATTCATGAATACTTTCCTAAACAGTAAATTAGGTTAAACAAAAAAGTATTTATTATGATTGTGGAAATAAATGGTCTCAAAGCTATCTAAATCCTAGGTTAGTGGCTTACTTGGCCCATACAGATGCAGGCTGTTCTCTATGGTTTATAACTTAATATTGTTCACTGGACATTAGAGAACTTATATTTCCCAATGTCATGGTCAAATATCCTCTAAATATTCTCAAAATTTGTTGTCTAAATCATTGTTAAGACAAGGTAGCTATGGAGAACCTGAAGTGGGGTTAGTCTGAATTGAAATGTGCTTTAAGTATAATACATACTGAATTTCAAAGACTTAGTACAAAAAAGGAAAATACCTGACTTTTAAAATGCATATTGAAATTATATGTATGTATATATATACATATAAAAATTTCACATATGAAACTCTCTCTACACACACACACACACACACACACACACACACACACACACACACACACACGTGCAAGTGTGGTGCTAGGGATCAAAACCAGGGCCTTGTTCATGCTGAGCAAACACTCTACCACTGAGCTAAAACCCCAGTCTCTATCCATAATTTATTAATGACAAATGACCTGTGGGTTTTTTTTGTTATATTGCTGAGGCATAAGTTGGATTGAAGGACATCATGATATATCCAAGAGTGAGCTTATTTTATTCCCACTATCTGTATCTTAGTATTTTCTCATATTCTACTTAACAAGCAGTTATTCCTATGAAAAGAACTCTGCTTCATTTTGAAAAACTGATTGCAATGTATGAAACAGATGAATGCAATACATGAACAGATGAAAGTTCATCTGTTCAAATGTGTTAAAGTGTGATGTAAAGATATATACAAAACCCATATTTCCATGTAAATACACAGCAATGTCTAGTGCACACTGAAGTATTTGTGAACCTGAGCTTAAAACTTAAAAGTTTTCTTTCACAATTTGGTACTTTTACACTACAATAGATAGCTCTTAAAATTTCTGTTTTCCTTAATTCTAAATTTAAAATTTTTCTGATGCCACATGAAAGCAATGCAACTTGGTCCTGGTTTTACTGCTAGTTTTTTCCTACCATAGCCCTGAGCTATGCCAAATAAATGTTGCCAGAAAATCCATGAAAGAAACAAATACTGGCTTTAAGTCATATCATTCAATTATCATCTAGAAAAACTAAAATATCTTCCACTCAAGTTTACTTCCCAAATAGTATATAGTAGTGATTACCTAAGTCACTTGCATTTTAAATGACTAAGATTTATTATGAATCATATTAGTTAACTTATAATAATTATACATAAAGCATGAATGTTTTGGAAAATAATACAGAAATACTAATAACATTTTATTTTGGCTTGTAGATAGTTTTATCTTTAAAACTAAAAAATGGTATTTCCATTTTGAAAAACAAGATAGTTTTACCCAGAAAAATCACTGAATTTGTTAAAAAAAATTTAATTCAATAACCTGAAATTCCAAATAAAACTCCCAAACCCTTAGGTTTATCTATTAAATCAGTATCTTATTCTGATCTGTAAGCTACTCTTGATTAACTACAGAAATGGAATAGAGTGGTAAACTTATCCATAAATTATCCCTGTGTAATTTGGAATACAGCACATGCATTTCTTCTTTTTTTATTTTGTTGGTTGTGGGGTCTGAACTCTAGGCTTGGGTGCTGCCCATCAGCAATTCAGCTCAAGGCTAGCATTCTACCACTTGAGCCACAGTGCTACTTCTGGCTTTTTCTGATTATGTGGTGCTGAGGAATCGAACCCAGTGCCTCATGCATGCGAGGCAAGCACTCTACCACTGAGCCACATTCCCAGCCCACATGCATTTCTTCTCTTTTTTTTTTTTGCCAGTCATGAGGCCTAAACTCTGGGCCTGGATGCTATCCCTCAGCTCTTCAGCTCAAGGCTAACACTCTACCACTTGAGCCACAGCGCCACATCCGACTTTTTCTGCTTATGTGGTGCAGAGGAATCGAACCCAGGGTCTCATGCATGCAAGGCAAGCACTCTACCACTGAGCCACCTTCCTAGCCCCATGCATTTCTTTTTTCTACTGCTTTTTTTTTTTTTACTATTTATTTGGTGTAAGTTAATTTATGCATTCTAGTATCTCTACTTAAAAGTTTGGTCAGTATGAAGCATGATGAAGTTTAAGGCATTACCACAGTAAAATCTCATTGGGAGAACAGGCAATAATGTTTGAAATAGCAATTTGAGACATATTTAAATGCCAAAATAGTTAAGACAGTCAATCCCACTAAAACAGAAAGAGTAAAGTCAATATAGGACAGATAACCAGAGAAAAGAGAAGATGTGGAACAAACTACTCTGTGAAAGACTGAATTTAAGGAATACGGCAGGCAGAATGAGAAATAAGCAAAAGCTTACAACTATGGTTTATTTACACAAGTTGCTGGGCACCGGTGGTTCCTGCCTATAATCCTAGCTACTCAGGAGGCTGAGATCTGAGGATCAAGATTTGAAGTGTGAGAAAATCTCTTTTCAATCAAAATAGTTGCTTCCTCTCTGTTAATCTTGTGATAATTGTTTTTTCAGAAAAGTTCCTGCTTTGGCCCATGTGGTTTGCATTTAAGACATTCTGTTAGAAGCTCCTTGAGCTTTAGTTGCACCCTGTTAATAAGCCATATCCTTTTGCAGATTGTGAACCTGAACTCAGCCAATCCAAGCAGAGGCACAGGACCTGTTGGGTTAGAGATAATAAGGGAGCAACCTACCTGCTCTGTGTTTGCTGGCCAGATTTTTGGCTAGTGGCTTATAATTCTGCAGAAGTAAACAGCTTTGCCCAGTTCAAGTTGGTGTCCTTATTCTTAGGTTACACCCAATATCCTGAGCTATTTCTAACCCATTTATCTTTTCATTCTTCAGGACTAAGTATCCCTAATGAAACTCCATCACTCTGAGATAAGGTAGATCTGTTATATAGCACTCACCTTAGCTATAATTGAGTACTTTGTATGAGCACTTAATTCTGTCTGAATTTGTAACCTTATAAACTCCATTATCAGGTACCATACCTATTTCCTTTAATGCTGAGATTCCTACTTCCTAGGGCAAGATATGGCAAATGGACAATAAATGTCAAAGTAATAAAAGTATCCTCTCTCAAGAGTTCAATCATTATCTTTTGACAATTACTTCAAGGTCTATTTGGCCAATTATATCTCACTCTTGATTTGGAGCCATGTTTCCAACACCTTTACTTGAAGTATATTCAAGTTATCTCCCTCAAATCCAACCTAATTGAATAGTAATATTATTTCCACTAATTCTACCCAAATTAGAAATTCACACTTTTTTAGATGTAGCTACTTAATTGCAGATCCCTACTACCCCCAACTATAAATCAGAGGTTCACAAATATTACCTTTGAACAAATAAAATCAAGCCAAATGCCAGCGGCTCATGCCTATAATCCTAACTACCAAGGAGGCTGAGATCTGAGAATCATGGCTCAAAGCTAGCCTGGGAAGGAAATCCCATGAGGTTCTTTATGTCCAATTAACTACAAAAAAATGCCAGAAGTGGAACTGTGGCTCAAGTGGTAAAGTACTGTCTTTGAGTAAAAACTCAAGGACAGCACCCAGGCCCTGAGCTCAAGCTCCAGGACTGTGCATATGTGTGCGCACATACACATACACACATTCACAAAATCAGCTATTTCTATTTGCTACCATCATTCCTATTTCAGTTCAAGGACCATCATTTCTTCCCTAGGTCACCACAGCCTTTTAGAACACGTAGTCATATGTGTCATTTCCTTTCTGCTAATCTACTTTCCTTATTGCAGAGAAGTCTCCAAATTACAATTATTTTACAGCCTTTCAAATGGTTTCACATCATCTCAAGATAGCTGAAAGACCCGTCCCCATCCTCATCCCTCATCCCTCCTCCTCCTCCTCTTCTTCTTCTTCTTCTTCTCTCTCTTTCTCTCTCTCCCTCCCTCCTATTCTCTATACTCTTTATACAGAGGCTATACTAAATTACAGTGTTTCTTCTTTCAGGCTATATTGGAACTCGCATCATCTGAGAAACCGTGACCTATCCTGTGTGTACTTCCTACAGACCTTGTAATTATGTTTGCCACTGTATTTACTGCAACAGATTACTTATCAATCTTTCTCACTAGGCTTATGTTCTTTAAAAATGAGGAGCTCTTTCTTATCACTCTTTATATTCTCAGACTCATACAATACCTAACACCCAGAAGAAACTTAAATGTTTGTTAAATGAGCCTATGGAGAAAAACAGGAAACCTTTGGTTGTGCTTTGGCCCCAGCCAGCCCTTTTATGCCTCATTCCTCCTTTTGGGAATAGGAATCTTTATGCCACTGTAATTGGGTGCAATTTTTTTTGTATGTTACCATTCCTGGGGCTTGAACTCAAGGCTGGGGTGCTGTCCCTGAGCATTTTTTCTCAAGGCTAGGCTAGCTCTCTACTACTGAGGAACAGTTCTACTTCTGGCTTTTTTAAATGTTTAAATGGAGATAAGGGTCTTACAGACTACTCTGCCCTGGCCTGGCTTTGAACCACAATCCTTAGATCTCAGCCCCCTGAGTAGCTAGGATTAATAACATTCTTGAATGACTAGCATCCAGCAAAAGTATGTAATTTCTTTCTTCTTGTTTTTTCAGAGGCTCAAACTTAGTTTGCCTGGTGTCCCAGTGGGCTTTTGAACAATGTTGGATTCAGGAGGCTTTATAGGCTGGTCATAGCAGAATCTTAGGATTTTTATGTCCCCTCTGCGCTCAGGTATGGAAGGCTTCACTTACAGCTGATGGAGCTATTTAGGGCTATTGTGGAAACTAAGATATCACTCACTGGGGCATGCCTTTGAAGGATACCTGATCTTAGGCTCTGTCTCACTTTCTACTTCCTGTCTGCTATGAGATGAAAACCTCTGCCCCATCTTCCCACTGCCCAAACAACTATGGCCTTAACCCTCTGAAACTGAGTACCAATAAATCTGTCATTTAGTAATTTAGGTCTAGTGTTCAGACACAGCTACACAAATGTAACTAATACATTAGCCAATAGGATATTTGTATAATATAGTATGAAGTTACCAAGGTGTGGTTTAATGGTGACTGGGTCACTGGAGAAATGAGTGAAGGAAAACATAATTCAATTTATTAACCACTGCCAATGCACAAAAGTGCATGAAGTGTTTAAGAAAATAGGATATAAAATATGTCTGTTTTTAGGCTGTTTCCATAGTTAAAACGGTGCTTGACTCATAGTAGATACTCAGTAAATCTGCAAGTATGTATCTCAGATTATAAGGAAGACAACAGGAAGTATTAAAACATCTTCAGCAAGACTTCAGTGCAATCACAGTTGGGTCTCACAAGATGTAATGGCATTTTGGAATACGGTATTGAGACAATATTACTTATGATCTAAGCGGAAGGGGCCACACAGGAAAAGGACAGTATTAATACTAGATAGAAGAAATATATAAATGAGGTGTTCAGGATATTAACTGAGCAAACTAAAGTTGCTTATCCCAAAGCAAGAAACAAAATGCACTGATGAAATAGAACAAAGAGAGAAATTAAACAGCAAGGAACTTATACAGAATTCTGTGTAAGAATGAATCTTAGTCATACCTTTGATTTGTAAATACAGAATCTTAGGTAATTCTGTGAAAGAATAATGGGAATGATAGGGAAGAGACAAATATAAATATAAATAATGCAACCTGATCACTTATTAGATTTATAGGATACGACAGAAGAATAAAGTATGAAATTAAGGTTATACTTAGAAATACTACGATAGTGGATGAAATGCAGACATAAGGGAGGAAAATGGGTACTAATTTAAATGTGTAGAACTTGGGTGACTAGGATACTTACTTGAATTGAAGCCTAGAAAGAGGTGAAGGCACAGAAAGATTTGGGTTTCATGAGACAAACTGGTATAAGCAGAAACCACTAGGAAAGAGGTCACCCAGACAGCAACTACAAACTCAGAAGAAGGCCAAGGACAAAACCTTGGAAAATTTATCTACATTTCAGAGGTAGGATAGATAAAATACAGTAAGAGATTTGTAAAGAACATCTAAAAATGTAATCCTAGCTGCTTGGGAGGCAGAGATGAAGGATCACAGTTTGAAACCAGCCCAGGCAAATGAGATTCCATTTTAACTGATGGCTGGGTGCAGTGATGCAAGCTTGTCATCGTCAGTGAACAGTGAAGTACAAGTAAGAGGGTATCAGCCAAACTGGCCTACCTCAAGGATGATAAATGCAAAAAGAAGACTGGGGTGTGTGTTAAGAGGTAGACTGGAGATAAAAGATAATGATAGTAAACACTGATATAATCACTAAATGTCTGTTTGTTCTATTTATTTTAAATTAATTCATTTAATGTTAATTACACCCTGTGTGATGGCACTATTACTCGATTTTTATAGACAAAGAAGATGAAGGACAGAGAGGCTTGCAGAAAGAAGCTAGAATTTGAATCTAGGCTGCCTCTCCACAGACAAGAGTTCAAATGAGGAAAATAGAGCAACACTGGTGAATGTGGCAAACTACTATGTTAAGACTTGAGACCTTCAAATTTGGCATTAGAAAGTCAATGATAAGGGCACAAATTAAAAATAAGTTTAAAAGTTAATGGAGTTGAGTGTGGTGTTGTATGCTGGTGATCCTTGATGCTTTAGATATAGAAGAATCATTGTTTGAGGCCAGTATATCGTGGTTCGAGGCAAGCACTGCAAAGTTAGCATTACATTTTATCTGAAAAACAAACTAAAGGTAGAAAGACAGAGACAGCAAAATAGAGAACGATTTGGGAAGTGATAGCAAGGGGCTTGTTTTATTCTGGACAATGAAAAATGCTAAAATTCACTAATTTCAGTATACTAAGCTTTGAACCATAAATGTTATGTATGTGAATGGTACGATGGTATGAAAATTACATCTCAATAATGTTGCTAAAAATTAATGGGAAGTGACTATAGGAATATTTGCATTAGTAGGGAAGGAATATAAAGAATGACTTCTGAGGGCCAGGTACTTTTTAAATATTTACTGAGACAAATCAGTGAAAATGGAACTTTATATTTAAAAAGCCACCAAGTTGCCATGTGTCTGTTAATCTCAGCACTTTGGGGGTTAAGACAGGATGGACAGAAGTCAGAGGTTAGACGAGGGATACATAGTGAGACTTTCTCTCCAAAAAATGACATCTTTAAAAGTGAGAGTGAAGCTGGGCACCACCTGTGGCTCATGCTTATAATTCTAGCTAATCAGGAGGCTGAGATCTGAGGATCATTGTTCAAAGCCAGCCAGGGCAGGAAAGTCCATGAGACCCTTATCTCCAATAAACCACTAGAAAACCAGAAGTGGCACTATGGCTCAAGTGGTAGAGCGCTCACTTTGAGCTGAAGAGAGCAGGGACAGTGCACAAGCCCAGAGTTCAAGCCCCACGACCAACAACAACAACAAAAAAAATAAGAGTGAATACAGATAACTGGTGGTAAAATGAAGACGTCAGTCTTAAAAGATATATTCACTGAGGTAAAAGAGGAAGTATTCAGCTGAATATGAGAAAATAAGGGGTAGCAGAAGAAATCCAGAAAAAGTCATAAATACAGAAAATCCATGATATGAATGAGGAAACAAAGCAATAGATAAAAAAATTGTCAAATAGAATTGATAGGTATGAGAACAGAAGCACTTGATGGAACCAATATATATGATTATCAGATGTTCTCAGTGACATGAATTTTTCAGAGCTTGTAAATGGATGTGGAGGATGGCTGGGATATTTCAGACATAGAGGGATGCTAAAGGCACAGGTGAAAATGAGGTCTTACTAAGCAGGAAAGACAATGATACCAACAAATGGATATTTCAAAGGGGAACTAGATTTGGTGATGATTCAACAGAAGGAACAATGAAGAATTAAAACAGTATTCTTGATTCTTTGACCTGAAAGAACTGAGATTACTTATAATAAGAGTTCTTCATCAGAGGTTGTTATAAATGAATTACTGAAAAATATAATTACAAGTTTTAGATTAAAAAGCATCTTATTTAGTCAAGGCATTCAATGTGCATATGTGAAAATGGAGCCACATAATTTGAAGGGATGAATGAGATTGGGAAAGATGGGGAGAACAATGAAAGGGATGACATTGATCAAGATGTATTATGCTTATAAACTGATTTGTTTCATTAAAAACCCTTTATACAAGTACAAAAAGAAAACAGAAAGAGCCTGATGCCAGTGGCTCACTCCTGTAATCCTAGCTACTCAGGAAGCTGAGATCTGAGGACCACAGTTCAAAACCAGCCTGGGCAGGAATGTTGATAAGACTCATCTCCGATTAACCAAGTGGTAGAGGGCTAGCCTGGAGCTGAAGAGCTCAGTAAAATGCTCAGGCCAAGTTCAAGACCCACGCCTGACTAAAAAATAAATAATCAAATGCAAAATAAAAAGCTTCTTAGAAGAACTAAATTTACTATTAATAAGTGGTTGTACAAAGGGGTTCCAATTCCGTATGTCAGCTTATGAGTACAATGCTTCTTAGTCAATGTCAACCCTTCCATCATTCTCCCTTATTTTCCCCCTCCCATCCCTACCCTCAAGTTATATAGTTCATTTTTTAAATAATGTATATTGGCTAAATGACTGAATTTGTCACTCTCCATTCATTTGCTGCTGCCCCTTTTTGCCATCTCCCCAAAACATGCTTCCAGTTCCTGGTATTCATTTTGATAAACAGTACATTAGTTGGAAGAGCTCCATTTTTAAGAGGACTAAAGGAAAACCCAGAGAAGTTAAATGAGCTTGCTGACATCAATTGTAAGGTATTAAACAAAACCCCAAATGACTTTGAAATTAAAAACATTCTGTTACACCACTGAATCTCCTAAAATCTGGTGATTGAAATAAAAATGGTGATGCTTCTTGAGAACATTTAGTAGGACTAACATTGGTTGAAATTCTAGGTTCATTTCAGGTGATCATGGGGAAACTATGATGCAGGAACAAAATGAGTGATCAGGAAAAGACAACCTGAGATCAGTTTGCTCTGGTAATCTATACGTGGAGATAATAAAGAATTGGATGTAGAGGGATATAAGTACTTTAAAATATTCCAATGCTAGCATGCTTTATGCAAAATCCTGTCAATATTACTTGGCAAATAGGTTACAGGACATATAAATGAATTACTACCTAGAATTTGAAACATTAAGAAGAGTTTGCTTATTTAAGGTTATTTTTATGTCACAGAAATAGGTAATACTGAAGTGTGAATAGGTCTATTTTAAGGATCTAGACATTTGCCTTACCTTTTCTACCTTGTAGTCACACAAGTATTCCACCTCATATTTGCTTAGATTCCTTTTGGTGACTCCCATCGATTTACATGTGAGCTTTTCTTGTCTACATAATTCCTGAAGAGTATCAAGTGAAACTAGGCAAGGAACACACCACACTACAATAAGAAAATAGAGTTCTTTACTAATGAAATAGCTACTCAGTTAAAACAAAAATGAGAGACTTAAAACCTTTATATCCCCACCCTTCAACTGGTCATTTTGGTATAAAAGTCAGTACCGTAAGAAACCAATTATGTGTGTTCAAGATAAAATTAAGCATTAAAGAACTGTGGTATGTTTTCATGTACCTTCTAATATATCTCTAACCTACTATGTTTTACTGATATTGGTTAACTTCTATTAAACCATGTGACAACGCTTTCATGTCTATAAAGTTTCTAAAGATTACATACAGATGCAAAGGTCAATAGAGGTAATGTTTTTTACTTTCCCATTACATTCTACATAGAATTACTATCTGAATAAAACTATTTCTGGGTCATACTTATTTTTAGAAGTACCTCTAAAATATATCTTAAGAAAATAATAATTTAAAAGTAACTTTTTCTTTAAATGGACAATAAGATCTGAAATCTAACTGTAATACCGTTCTGTAGCTATAAACTCATATTTTCACCTTGTCTATTTTAAAAACATTGTTAAAGCTGGATGCAGGTGGCTCACACTTCTAATCCTAGCTACTCACAAGGCTACAATCTGATGATCATGATTTGAAGTCAGGCCAGGCAGAAAAGTCCATGAGACTCTTATCCAATTAACTACAAAAAAGAAAAAGACTAGGAACCAAGCTGTGGCTCAAGTGGTAGAATGCCAGCTGTGAGCAACAAAACTCAGGCACAGCACCCAAGCCCAATGTTTAAGCCCCAGGACCAGCAAAAACAAAAACCTCAAACAAAAAGTTAGGTACTCCTACTGATAATCTTTATTATTATAAGCACCCCTTTTATTTTTCCTTTCATTAAGCTGTTGGGGTCCAGGGTAATTTGACCCTTGTGACTGACAGCTGTTAAGACCCTTTCTTGGCTCCAGTGAAGGACCACAGTCAAGCAGCCAAACTACCTTTATGCCAGCCCAGCAGCTCTGAATCCTCCACTGTCTTGAGAAATCTACATAGCAATTCTAACTGCTTAATGATGAAGTATTCTCTGGCTCCTCTGTGTATGTGTCACCATTACTACTAGCCATGTCAACTAGCTTGTGTAGGATAATTATTATTATCATTATTGTTATTATAGTTATTTGCCATCACAAACTGCAAGGAACTCTAGGTGAGCCCTGGCCATTTCTACCTAGGCCAGAGCCTGATGGCCTTGCAGGACTGTGACTGTGCAAGCCCATGGAGTTATGCTGTGACTGGTGCAAGCACACACTGTATTTACATGGCTGATGCCACAATTTTCTGTGAGCCAGCTGGAAGACACTATCATGTGCCCGCTAGTGTTCCAACAGCAGACCCAATAAAAGGTTTTTCTCCAGTAATCTTTTCTTGTCTATTTTTTATATTTATCTTTAGTAGAGGGAGCTATGCTGGTAACAAGGAGGACAGGGGAAGTAGAAGCAAAGCAGTAGCAGTGGCAAAGGCAGCACCCTGGCAGTAGTGCCAGCTACAGTAGTGGTGAGAGGACAGGTGAAGGGTTCCAGAAAGCCAAGGCAGAAATGAATGGGAGCAGAGGAGACAAGAGACAGTAAGATCTGTTAGAAGCTTAGGAAGAGAAACTGAGGGTCCTGATCACTGAAGAGATCCAGAGAGCTGCCAAGGTTGAAGGGTCAAGTTGTTAGCCACCCTGGGCCCAAGAGCTGTAATATTTGTAGCTTAAAGCAAAGGGTACTGCTGAGGCCTGTACAAGAAGAGATCAGCTATAGCTGTTTCCTGGGTCTGCTGATGGAAGCAAAGGATTATAATAGTTTCCAAGTGCTCTTATTGGTTAAAGCCAACAGCTACAAGTCCTTCATGAGTGCCCAGACTAGGGCTTCTAAACCCTTAGCTGCAATAGGCTCCTAGCTCTCAGATCATGGTGCTTTAAACTTCTGGATATACCAATCTAACCTCTAAAAGGGCGGGGGGGGGGGGAACCATGCAGTCCATATACCCACAGGTTTAGCCCTGCCAGGCCAATCACCAGGTCAATAAATGGAGCTTAAATTTTTAATACCAATTTAATTTCATATGAACTGAATCATAATGATAACCAATTCTGAGGTTCAAATAAAGCCTTGGGCACTCAAGAGCCTGGATGGCCAGGCTACTAGGCTCTCCTCTCATATACAGAATTTCTATGCATGTAAAGTTTAAAAGGGCCCCAGTTAACTGAGTCGGTAACACAAACATGTGGCTTTTAAAACAACAGAGAAAAAGATGTCACCTGACCATTTGTGAAACAATGTATCAACGCAATAAAAACCCCTTGCACAAGTTATCACTAACTCTGGCATTCCTTAAAAAAGTACTATTTTTAAGGGACAATAATAAAGTCACTTCGAAATTCCAGAATGTATTGCAAAGTTCCAGGCTTTCAAAAAGTGCCTAACCACCACACATGCGCGCTCACACACACACACACACACACACACACACACACACACACACACGTTAATTTTCCAGCCACCCCAAAATAAAACTCTAAGTTCCTACTGGGCAAAAAAAAAGGGAGAAAAGAATAGAAAATAAAAGAAAGGAAGGAAGGAGGGAAGGAAGGAAGGAAAGAAGGAAGGAAGGAAAGGAGGGAGGGAGGGAGGGAGAATGTAAAAAAAAGGAAAAGAAAAAGTTACAAGGTAATCCAGAGGTCGCTCTTACAAATAATCACTTTCTGGTGCTTTCTCCACCCAGAAAGTGAACGACCTCCCAGTGTGTCTGTGATGGGAGGGGGGGCAGGGAGATCCCTTTCCTAGTCTTCCCACCGACCCCCACCAAGCCTACGGTCCCGAGTTCACCATCACCGCAGCAGGCTTTTTGTCCAGTAGAAGGCAGCTTGCACACTCCCTGCTCAAAGTGCCACAAAGGAACCAAAGCCTCAGCCCTGCCAGCAGGCATCCTGGCCAGGGTCTGGGGAAGGGGACATGGAGGGACGAGTGGAGAAAGGAAACAAGAAGCAGATGGGCGATACGAGGGGGAGACGACACGGAGGGAGGGACGACACAAGGGGGAACACGACACGGAGGGCCACTGTGAGGCAAGGGAGGAAGCGGGCCGGGGCCAGGTGAAGGCTGAGGACAGCCACGGGGAGCTGGCGGAGGGCTGGGGTGTGACCAGAGCAAGGGGCGACCTCCCGCCAAGTCACATCTGGTTAGCCAGCGAGATGGCGGGGATGTTGGCCGAGCCTCGGGCGTATGCCTAGGAACCGGAGGGCGAAGCGACAAGGGTTAGGGATCGCGCTTCATCCTCACCTCTTTGCGCTTCGGCCCCGGCTGCCGCCATCTTGAGGTGCTTTCATTCAAACTGCGCGGTCGGACAGAACACCTCCGCTGGCCGACGCTCCGCCCCCAATGTGGCCCCGCGTGGGACTCCGAAAGCCCCGGTTGGAGGCTGAACTCCGCGATGCGTCCTGACGTCAGCAGAGGCAACCCAGGCGACAGCCAGTACGCCTGCGCGAGCTCAAGGCGCGGGTGCACGGGGACGCGGTGAGCCTCCATGGAGTGGGCGTGGCCACGCCCCTAGCCAGGCCATATTTGGCTCTTCCCAAGGAAGCCCGTCTGCCTTAGCTTTTCCCACGCTGCCATGCGCTGCGTGAACTGTGCAACCCTCAAAAATCGTGCAGCCTGAGTGTAGGATGCAGTAGAAGCTTCCCTCCTGATCCGGCTCCTCAGCCACCCGAAACAACTGCCCTGTTTTGCTAAAGCTCGGGATTCCAAAATTGCCAGCACGTGGAAATATGTTTGTGGGACAGATTCTGTGGGTGTGCCCACTCGCTGCCTCTCATTAGCATTGCATGTTGCCTGGGCATTGTCTCTTTATCTGAATGCTCAAATGTGCCCCCACAGCTTGAAACATGGGTCTCTTTATTAGTGCTTTACCAACAGGAATCAGAATGATTTTAGTGAAGATTTGAATTCACAAGTTATAGGGTGGGACGCCTCTGGGTTTCTGTCTGTAGCTGCTGGTTAGGGACTGTGGGTTCACTTTGGTGGCCAGGCTACAGAACTAATCCCAGGACCTTGTAACTGGTCTCCACCCTAGACTCCTACCTCATCAATCCCCTATCTATTCTTCACATTATTCTAAACATTTTAAAGCAAATCTTAAGAAAAGTGAATCATGAGAATGTGGTAGGCAGCCAACTGACATCTACCAATGATTTCTAAAAGATTCGTGTGCAAAAATGCATTCATATTTCAAAGAATGATGTATAAATTTGAAATATTGGAAATAAATTCAGGACAATATGCATATGTTTAATAATTTGATTCCATTATAAAATATTGCCCGACTATCTGTCTGAAACATAAAGGCTGTTTATGAACTTAATATCTTGAGGAAAGTATTTAATATGTGAAACAAAACCAAAACAAATTCCTCTGAAATAGTTTCAACTTTGTACCAAAAATATGTACAAGATAAGAGAATATAAAGCCATTGTGATTTTAACTTATTCTACATTTTAATCACTTCCTGTAATGACTATTTCAGTACCTTGATAAGATAGACTAGAAATCCTACACGAGCCTGTTTTGTTTTGATTTGGTTTTTGCAGTACAGGTGTCTTGCTTACTAGAGCCACAAACATATGCGCCAAGCCCATGGCCCTTCTTGCTTTTGTTATTTTTTGAGAGTCATGCTTTTTACATGATCTAATCCAGGCTATCCTAGATTTCTGTTTGTCAAATCTTACTTTGTGCCACTCTTTTGTACACAATTCTCTAAAACTTACTCATTCAGAAATCTTTTCTTGAGTATCTCCTTTGTGCTGTCAAGTGCTGAGATTTTAGGAGTGGACAAATAAAAGACTGTCTCCATGGAACTTATTTCCTAGTTCAGGGGTGGAGAGAACTTCTAGCCTTAGGATCATTTAAGGCTTGCCAAATCATTTGGTTTGAAGTTAGTATTGGCACAAAAATAGACACAAAGATTAATGGAACAGACTAGAAGACCCAGAAATAAAACCATATACTAACAGTAAACTGTTTGATAAGGGAGCCAAAGACATTCATTAATTGGTGTTGGGGAAACTGAGCATCCATAAGCAGAAAGCTGAAAGTGGATCCTTGTTTATCACCATGCACAAATATCAACTCAAAGTGGGTCAAAGACCTCAACATCAGTCCTGAAACTTTGAATTCCTGCAAGAGGGAGTAGTAGAAACACCAGAACTCATAGGCAAAGGCAGAAACTTTTTGAAAAGAATCCCAGGGGCACAGCAGATAGGAGAGAGACTTGACAAGTGCGATTACATCGAACTAAAAATGTCTGCACAGCAAAGAACATACTTACTAAACTAGAAAGCCAGCCAACAGACTGGGGGAAGATCTTCACCAGCAATATATCAGACAAAGGCCTAATATCCAAGAGCACAAGAAACTAACCCCTCCCCCCAAAGCTAATAAGTCAATCACTAAATGGGCAAAAGAGCTAAGGAAAGACTTCTGAGAAGAGGTAAAAATCGCAAAGAAACATAAGGAAATGCTTATCATCCCTGGCCATAAAGGAAATGCAAATCAAAACAACTTAGAGGGCTGGGAAGTTGGCTCAGTGGTAGAGTGCTTGCTTGGCATGCATGAGGCCCTGAGTTTGATTCCTCAGCACCACATAAGCAGAAAAAAAAGCTGGAAGTGGTTCTGTGGCTCAAGTGGCAGAGTGCTAACCTTGAGCTAAAGAGCTGAGGGACAGCACCCAGGCCCAGAGTTCAGGCCCCACAACCAACAACAAAAAAAAAACCAACTTAGAGATTTCATCTCACCTCTGTTAGATTCCAACATAGTGAATTGAAATAACAACCAGGGTTGGTGGTGATGTGAGGAAAAGGAACTCTCTATTACATTGTAGGTGGGAATGTAAACCACTACAACCACTCTGGACTACAGTCTGTAGGTTCCTCAAAAAACTAAACATATATCTACCCTACTACCCATCTGCCCATAACACTACAAGCCAGGATGTCATAAAGACACTTGCATATCCATGTTCATTGCTGCATTATTCACAATAGCCAAGTTACAGAAATGGCCTAGATGGCCTTCAATAGATGAGTGGATCCAATAAATGTGGTACCTACATACAATGCAATTTTATACAGCCGTTAGAATGAATAATATCATAAGTCATTTTCAAAGAAATGGATGGACCTAAAAAATCATATTGAGGTAAGTCAAGCTCAGAATGACAAATGGTACATGTTTACTCTCATATGCAGAAGCTATAACTAAAATACACAGGAACATGATAAATTATATAGTACTCTATTCACACACAGTGATGCCAAAGGAGGATACTCTTAGGAGAGGAGCACAAAGGTGCAATGCCTATGGGCATCTGATCATATAAAATATTATTTATCAAAATGAACTCCTAGGAAATGGAGGTTTTGCTTTTGCTGTTTTTGTTTTCTTTTTGGCTTATTTGTTCAATTATCTGTCTTTAGGAGAGTAAGGGGCACAGAAATGGAGGAATAAAGGGTGAAAATGGCAGCATTGGTACTTACTAGACACTACAACTTGTGGGTGGGCACAGGAGGGAAAAACTGGGAGAGAAGGAGGGAAGGGGTGACATTTTTCAAAAAGAAAAGTACCCTTTACCAGCCTGCCATTTGATTGAAGAATTGAAGCCATTAATATTCAGATATTGCTGAAAGGCATATAGCAATTCCTGCTTTTTTTTTGGTCAGTTGTGGGGCTTGAACTCTTGGCCTGGGCACTGTCCCTCAGCTCTTCAGCTCAAGGAGAGCACTCTATTACTTAAGCCACAGTGCCACTTCCGGTTTTCTGGTGGTTTCTTGGAGATAAGAGTCTCATGGACTTTCCTGTCTGAGCTGGCTTTGAACCATGATCCTCAGATCTCAGCCTCCTGGGTAGCTAGGATTACAGGTGTAAGCCACCAGCACCTGACTAATTCCTGATGTTTTATTGGCATATTAGGATGTTTTATATTTTTTAAACTTGAAGTCTAACTTTTTCCTAGAGATAAATTCTACATAGCCCAGATTGTCCATGAACTCATGTTGGAAGTTATCATAGAGTACATGCCAGCTTTAATGATAAAAGCACAGCCATAATATTTGAGTACATTTTAAAAACAGCATCTTTGATTAGCTATTGCCACAGTAATTTTTTTCTTATTTTGCCTAGGCTTAAGCAATCCTACCACCTCAGTGTCCCCAGATGCTGGGACTACAAGTGTGTGCTACCATGTCTGGTTATAAAGTTATCTCATCTTAATTCTGTTGAGAACCAAAGAATAATGGGAAAATCCTCTTGGGAAAAACCTAGATTTGGTGCTTGGTTTCAGTTTTTCCCTTAGAATGGTTGCTGTTAGACTTAGAGAATAAGCTTTTTCATTAGGAGACCATGTATCCCAGGGCTCCAGTAAATGTCCTGAAGAGAACATGGCTAGACTTCTCAATCTAAACATTAAAAAAAGTTTGGTCTTCTAGATTTGTGTTTTGAATTTGAATTCTATCCTAGAAAAGTCCAAAACAACCAGGAAAAAAATATCCTGGATGTATGACTCAACTTGAGTTGGAAAAAAACAATTAACATAAGTGTATATATGAACATACATATGTTTTTAAACAAAAAATGTTATCTTGTGAGGCCCTGAGTTCAATCTTCACCACTTGAAAATTGAACTGAATCCAGAGCTTTATAAGCTATATTAATGAACTAACCAAATTCTCGCCCTGGTATCTTAACTTTGCACATGTGTTAGAGTTTGAATATGAAATGATCCCCACAGGCTCATGAGCTGTAGGTTCAGTTGGCAACTGATGCTCTTTGGGGAAGTGAGCTAATCAATGTATTCATCCCTTGATGACATTATTGGAAGGCAGTGAAAAGTAAGACAAGAGGCTTCATTGGTGGAGAAAACTCACTGGGGGAAGCATGACCTCATGGGCTTACCTTGCCTGTGCCTTTCATTCACTGTTCCCTATTTGCTTTCCACTGCTCATACATGAGTAGCTTCTGCAACCTACCTACAGCCATAATGTTCTGTCTCACCACAGGCATTAACTTTGAAATCACCTCTTGGGATTAACTTTCAAATCACCAGGCAAATAAATAAATCCTCTCTTTACGTGGTACTCTGAAGTGTTTGGTCATAGCAATAAACAGATGAGTAGCACAGAAATTAGGGTGTGTTCTTGAAGGCTACCTCTTGTGTTGAGCCTTTTCTGTTTTTCCTAACTATGCTCCTGATCTGTCATAATGCGAGCTGCTCTACCATGGCTTGCAATACCATGACGGGTTGAAATCTCTGAAACTGAGAGCAGTGAACTTTTCTTCCAAGTTGCTTA